TGAGTGTGCAATCAGCATAAGTGTGCAACCAGCAGCAATGCCAAGAGCCTTACACCGATAGACCAACAGTGTCTACATAAAAAGATGTCACCAAGCAACTGACACATGCATGAGCCAGCGTAGAAGGATTATCCCAAAGAACAAGGAACAAGAGGTGAGTGGGCATGGAGGCAGCCGCCCGGGTCTGGCCAACCTTAGGCGGGCCGTAACTATACCCACTGCACGGGAAAGGGGTGCAACCCGTGTAGCTGCCCGGTAAACCATATAGGCAGAGAGGGAGAAGAGGACAACAAACGAGGGGCTGTGACAAACGGTTTTGTCGGAGTTTCACCGACTCATCAGGAGGCTGAACACTCTATATATATTGTTTGACGAGAAACTCCGACGAAACAGTTTGTCACAGCCCCTCGTTTGTTGTCCTCTTCTCTCTCTCTGCCTACGGTTTACCGGGCAGTTCTGTTTGTATATATATAGGGTTCAGCCTCCTGATGAGTCGGTGAAACTCCAACGAAACAGTTTGTCACAGCCCCTCTTCTCCCTCGTTTGTTGTCCTCTTCACTCTCTCTGCCTACGCTTTACCGGGCAGCTCTGTTTGACAAGCTGCAAAAATATGCCTAAATTCCGGCAAATGTTCACCTTAGCACAGCCCTCCTATCGGATTTTGGGGATATACAGTAATTACCCATTGCGCAGATATATCACCATCTTACACTTAAAGAGTGGAGAAAGGAGACTCGCTCGAACCCCCGTTCATCAATCGGTGGTCTGTATCTTCCGCTAGAACACGGAAAGATTCACTGCCATCACTTATGAAAGTCCCACTCGCTGGTATTACTCTGACCCCAGTTCTCGTCCTGCACCACACAGTTTGTTCCATTACTTGCAACGGTTCATTATGATTTAGGAGCCAGGCCTTGCAGGTGCTATTTTTATCCTATGTGAAGTATGCCGCATGAACCTGGTTGCTTCTATTGTCAGGTTCATGCTCTCACAAACATAGCACCAGTAGGGTCTACCGTGAACGGGTGAAAATCAGCACTGGTGCTATGTTTATGACAGCATGAACCTGGTCACTTCTTTAGTCAGGTTCATGCTCTCACAAACTAGAACTGCTCAGCGTTATGAAGTGACCTTTCATAGATGTTTCTGAGGGCAGACCTTGTGCCAAATTAGATATGCATGGGATGTGCACGACCGTCTTTCACATTGAGATCAGCCAGTAGCCTTCTTGGGACTGCATGACTAAGTACTTCGTAACCTGGACTGCATGACTGACTACATACTTCCTAACCTGGACTGCATGACTGACTAAGTACTTCCTAACCTGTCGACACACTGAGAAAGTGATGATAAGAGGCCCACATGTTGTGAAACCTGGAGCCCCGTACAGTGCCGTCAACACCATATGATACAATCGAGAGAGTATACCAACTTGCAACGCCAATGAAAAATTGCGGACGGACATTGCAAACAAGAAGAGCCACTGGGGAATTTTTTGTTCCAAACCCTGAACATTGAACTGCGAATAGCATTAAGGCCAACCTGCAAATGTAGTCCGGATGCAGGAAAGCTTCTCTCACCTTGAGCTTGAGATCCTTTAGTGTTCGCATGCAATCGTACATCAGTCCTCTACGATCACGGGCGTCAATTTCCACCATTGTCTGTTTGTCACTCATTGCATTGTCGATCTTGACTGTCGCCTGTTCCGAGTTCTTATCCTTCCACCCATCAAAGTCATCTGGGAAAAGGGCTTCTGCCACAGACGGCATCATTCTAGATGCTGGCGAGCAATCCAGTGATGAGAACACACCGCATTCTGGACCTGCTATGCTCAACTCCACAGTCGTCAATGGATCCAACTCTTGAAGAACTTGTTCACGGACTTCATTCGCTCGTTCAGCACTGGGAAGCTCCTCCCTGCAGCGTAGTTGCCAAACAGTGCACCGAACACAACCAGAATTCGTCGTCGCCATTGTCAGAAAGAAACAGAACAAAAAAGAGAGATGTCTCTGTGCGTGTGTGTAATGGGGGGGGGAGGGGAGGGGGGGGG